ATATTATGATCATCATGTCGTAAACAAATACAACGAACCATATCAACACACTAAAAAAAGATTTACATTGAAATTAAAATCATTCATTATTTCTTGAATACTGATTGAAAGATGTTGATTTGTATCAATATTTTTACTTCTATTTATTGATTGTTGATTATTGGTTGATTATGACTGAAATTCTTAGATACTTAAATTAAGTAATTGAGGGTGTGGGTGATGGTGTGTAGGTATAAGCAATACAAACACTCACACCTACCTCTCAAAATCCCTGAATCTTCTTAAAGCACATTCGTCATACTTTCTTCGGATGCGTCTAATGAAATTTGAGTGGTAAATAAAGTTTTTCATACATCGAACGATAAATTAAAAAATATGAAATTTTTCATTTCTTTATTTTCAAGCTTTCAAAACTACTATGATTATCAATTTGAAAAAAAAAATTTTACGATAGAAAATATTTATATAGACTAGAATAAAGTGCAAAACCTAATGACTCATCATAGCTCAAATTTACGCATATGCAAATATCACTGTATATTTTATCATCGCAACAACACGAAACGCAAAGGTAAGGTGAAAAAAGAAGAGACAGAATATATGAAAAGCGAAATGCATGTGATGACTGGCACATGGATAAAAAAAAAGTCGTCTGCGCCATGAAAAAGTCATGTGTGATTGATTCATCTAAATATACACTTGTGGGAAAAAACCAAGTAATTTTGTCAATGATAAATACAGAATAAAATCGATTGCAAGCACACAAGACAAAATTTGCTACACTTCAATATTATACAGCACGTAAGTATATTTTGTTTCTAACATTATTAGACTAGTTAGAAAATTAAAGTTAAAAGTAAAGCGTAGCTACACACAAAAAATAACGGGACATAAGCATGTGTTATTTTGATGGCTATAAAGTAGTTTTAAGATAGCTCCACTTGATGATACTCAGAACATGCAATTGATTGTCTTGGTTGCACAATCTTGTATATATAAGACAGTCTTATTGTAAAACACGTTTAACAGAGGAACTATTTGTATGCATACATTTCAACACGAGTACCAGAAATGAAAGGCACAACTTTTACTTTTAGAAATGCTCTTTTGCCGTTCTACGAACTAATCTGGACAGGTTAGATAGACAAACAAGCTAGACATGC